AATCTTCTTGGACTTTGGGAAAATCAAATTGACAAAGGTAGTCATGAAGAAGAATTCATATAGTATATTTGGGACAATATGTTATGAATCCAGCCCAAAGATCAGCCTTTTTCGATCTGGTAATGCAACAGGTTTAATAAATTATCTAAGTAAGAGATTCCCTAGGGTGCGGTAACCATAACTTGGTAGGATTTAGCATTCAGTTTGAGAGTGAGAAACTTGGGTCGAAACAATTATGCTAAACTTAGGTGGGCAAAAACTTGGCACATGGAATATAACGTGGGAAGATGTAAGGCTAATGACATAAGGGTGAGAGTTGAGTTGACTGGAGTGGACTGGGAAAGGATGTTAACAGAAAAGACAGTCGGGGAAAGATGGCAGACATTTTTTTTTTTAAACAAAAGTTAATGATTTACAGCACAAATGCATCCCAGTGAAGAAGGAAACCTCTAGGAAGGGGATAAACTGACCATAGTTAACCCAAGAAATTAAGGATAATATCAAATTGATTGAAAAAAAGAAACAAGGTTGCAAAGATTACATGCAAACCAGAAGATTGGGTAAGTCTTAAAAGCCAGAAAAAAGGAGAAAATAATCTGGGGGAAATCTAGCAAGTGTCTCAACAATGGATAGTAGGAGCTTCTTTAAATATATGAAAAGGAAAAGAGAGGCCATAGTGGACATAAGCCCCTTATAAAATACAACTAGGGAAATAATTGGGAATTAGAGAATGGCAGAAGATTCTTCATGATAGAGAGCGTTAGAGCATTGCAAACATAGTAAATAAGGAAAAGAACCCAAGAGGGGGAGAAAATAGCACAATGGCTAGGGAGACTAACCAGACTAAAAGCTGATAAGTCTCCTGGGTTGCATCCTGGGACATTAAAGAAGGTAATGATAGAGATGATGGATGCATTTGTAGAATCATCCAACAATCCTTAGATTTGAGAAAAGTCCCAATGTAATACTCTTATTCCATAAGGGAGGGAACCAAAACTGATAACTATAATAAGAACATAAGAACAAGGAGCAGGAATAGGCCATCTGGCCCCTCGAGCCTGCCCCGCCATTTAATAAGATCATGGCTGATCTTTTTGAGACTCAGCTCCACTTACCTGCCCACTCACCATAACCCTTAATTCCTTTACTGTTCAAAAATTTATCTAGCCTTGCCTTAAGCACATTCAGCAAGGTAGCTTCAACCACTTCACTGGGCAGGGAATTCCACAGATTCACAACCCTTTGGGTGAAGAAGTTCCTCCTGACCTCAGTCCTACATCTGCTTCCCTTTATTTTGAGGCGATGCCCTCTAGTCCTAGTTTCACCTGCTAGCGGAAACAACCTCCCTGCCTCCACCTTATCTATTCCCTTCATAATGTTATATGTTTCTATAAGATCTCCCCTCATTCTTCTGAATTCCAATGAGTATAATCCCAGTCTACTCAGTCTCTCCTCATAATCCAACCCTCTCAACTCTGGAATCAACCGAGTGAATCTCCTCTGCACCCCCTCCAGTGCGAGAATATCTCTTCTCAAGTAAGGAGACCAAAACTGCACACTGTACTCCAGGTGTGGCCTCACCAGGACTCTATACAGCTGCAGCATAGCCTCCCTGTTTTTAAACTCCATCCCTCTAGCAATGGCAGACAGAATTCCATTTCCCTTTTTAATTACCTGCTGCACCTGCAATCCTACTTTTAGCAATTCATGCACAAGGACACCCAAGTCCCTCTGCACAGCAGTGTGCTGCAATTTTTTTACCATTTAAAACATAGTCCATTTTGCTGTTATTCCTACCAAAATGGATGACCTCACACTTATCAACATTGTACTCCATCTGCCAGACCTTTGCCCACTCACTTAGACTATCTATATCCCTCTGCAGACTTTCAGTCTCTTCTGCACACTTTGCTCTACCACTCACCTTTGTGTCATCTGCAAATTTTGACACACCACACTTAGTCCCCAACTCCAAATCATCTATGTAAAGTGTAAACAATTGCAGTCCCAACACTGATCCCTGAGGCACACCACTAGCCACTGACCGCCAACCAGAAAAACACCCATTTACCCCTACTCTTTGCTTTCTACTGCTCAACCAATCCTCCATCCATGCCAATACATTACCTGTAATACCATGGAACTTTATCTTATGTAGCAGCCTTTGGTGTGGCACCTTGTCAAATGTCTTCTGGAAATCCAGAGACACCACATCCACAGGTTCCCCATTGTCCACCGTGCAAGTAATGTCCTCAAAGAATTCCACCAAATTAGTTAAACATGACCTACCCTTCATGAACCCATGCTGGGTGTTTCCAATGGGACAATTTATATCCAGATGTCTTGCTATTTCTTCCTTAATGATAGATTCAAGCATTTTCCCCACTACCAAAGTTAAGCTAACTGGCCTATAGTTACCTGCTTTTTGTCTACTTCCTTTTTTAAACAGTGGTGTCACATTAGCTATTTTCCAATCTACGGGAACCACCCCAGAGTCCAGTGAATTTTGGTAAATAATTACTAGTGCATTTGCTATTTCCCCATCACCTCTTTTAGTACCCTCGGATGCATTTCATCAGGGCCAGGAGACTTGTCTACCGTTAGCCCCATTAGCTTGCCCAGCACTGCCTCCTTAGTGATAATGATAGTTTCTAGGTCCTCGCCTGCTATAACCTTCTTGCCATTAGTTTTCGGCATGTTATTTGTGTCTTCCACTGTGAAGACTGACACGAAATAACTGTTTAATGTCTCGGCTATTTCCTCATTCCCAGTTATTAAATTGGCCTTCTCATCCTCTAAAGGACCAATGTTTACCTTTGCCACTCTTTTACGATTTACATATTTATGGAAATTTTTGCTGCCTGTTTTTATATTCTGAGCTAGTTTACCCTTATAATCTATCTTACTTTTGTTTATAACTTTTTTTGTGGCTTTCTGTTGGCCTTTAAAAATTTCCCAGTCTACTAGTTTCCCACTACTCTTTGCTTTTTTGTATGTGTTTTTTTTTCAATCTGTTACTTTCCTTTATTTCCTTAGACATCCATGGCTGGCTCTCTCTTTTCCTACAGTTCTTCCTTATCACTGGAATATACTTCTGCTGAGCACTGTGAAAAATCATTTTGAAAGTCCTCCACTGTTCTTCAATTGACCCACCATAAAGTTTTTGCTCCCATTCGACCTTAGCTAACACCTCCCTCATTCCTTCATAGTCTCCTTTGTTTAAGCATAGGACATAGGTACTGGATTTAACCTTCTCATGCTCCATCTGTATTTTAAATTCGACCATACTGTGATCGCTCCTTCCGAGAGGATCCCTAACTGTAAGATCATTAATTATTCCTGTCTCATTACACAGGACTAGATCTAGGATAGCTTGCTCCCTCGTAGGTTCCATTACATATTGTTCATATTGTTATAAGCCAGTAAGCTTAGCATCTGTCATTGGGAAAGTGCTGCAGTCTATTTTGGAAGATATAACAGAACATTTAGAAATACATAATATCATGCAGAGTCAGAATGGCTTCAAGAAGCAAAAATCATCCTGACAACTGTGTTGCTGTTCTTTGGGGAAGTAATAAGCAAAATAATTGGAGGGACCGAGAGAGAGAAAATATTTTGAATTTCCAAAAGCTCTTTAATTAAGGCAACTCACAAAGCTATAAGAGCCCACATGTTGGCCTTTGTATATTAGCATAGACAGAGGATTGGCTAACTAACAGAAGACAGCCTTGAGACAAGGGGGATATTTTCAGAATGGCAACCTGTAACTAGTGGTATGCCACAAGGCTCAGTGCTGGAGCTACAGTTACGGATATATAAATGACTTGGTTGAGGGAAGTGAATGTACTATTGCCAGGTTTGCAGATGAAATAAAAATAGGTGGGAAGGCAGGTAGTGAGGATGACACGAGTGGTCTGTAGAGGTTAAGTCAGTGGGCAAAAGATTGGCACATGGAATATAACATGGGAAGATGTAAGGTTTTGCATTTTGACAGGAAGAATAGAAAAACTTTATTATTTACATGAGGAAAGATTGTAGGAAGACGTAGCATAAAGGAATTTGGAGTATCCTTGTGCATGAATCACTGAAAACTAGCATCCAAGTTTTTTGACCAAAGGACGGGCAAATGAAATGTATGCCTTCATCCCAAAGGGAATGGAGTATAAAATTAATGAGGTCCTTTTAAAAGTATGCAACACACTAGTCAGATTGCAGCTGGAATATTGAATAGTCTGGTCCGCTTATCTAAAGGAAGATATGCCAGCATTGGAGACCATTGAGAAAAGGTTTGCTAGGTTGATTCTGGGTATGCATTTATTATGAGAGGGTAAGTAGGTTGGGTTTGTACTCCTTTAGAAGATTTTAGAATTTAGAAGAATGAGAGGAGATCTTATTGAAACAGAAGATGTTTAGTGGGCTTGACAAGGTAGATACCGGATGGTTATTTCCTCTTGTGGAAGAGTCTAGAACTAGAGACTATAATCTGAGTAATAATAGGTTTCCCATTTCAAACACAAGGAGGAATTTCTTCTGGAAGTGTAGAGATTTTCACTGTAGAGGGCTGTCAAGGCTAGATCTTTATGTATATTCAAAGCTGCAATAGACATTTTTAATTGGTAAGGGAATCGAGATTGTGTAGATAAGGCAAAAAAGTGGAGTTAAGGATTATCAGATCAGCCATGATCTCGTTGAAAGGGCCAAATGATCTACATGTGCAACTAAATCCTTTAGTCTTATGGTTGTACACAGGCCAACCTGAGTAAGGATATCTGTGTATGGTCACTTTGCTGATACCAGAATTCTCCTTCTCAGTATTTTTTTTTTAAGAACTGATTTGGTATTCTCAAACTGCCAAAGTTGGATTACTGGTCTCTGTGCATGATTCATCTTTTTCAAATTGTGCAATATTTTCTATATGCAAGTGCTTGTTGTTGATGGTATGTTATGTGGGCATATTACTCAAATATGAAATAACAAGCATGTTTTTATTTTAATTTTAGTAGCAATGGCTGATACAAGAACAATGTCTGGTGGTGATACTGTTGATGCACAATCCAGTACAATCTATGAAGGGTGAGACGGATTCATTTTCTTTTTAACATAATATACTTATTTTAGATGCTTAAGAACTCCTTAGGCAGCTTGTAGCACCCTCATCAAAAGTATTCAATTATAGATGGATTGCATATTTAGCTTAGCACTGACAGTAATTCGTAGGGCTAGAGCAGTGACTTTTCCTAAATCAGTCTGCCTATAAATACAGATGAGTTTAATGAGCACAATGTTCATTGCAATTTCAGTAGTAATGTAAAAATATTTTAAAGACATGCTGTATTTGAATCACTTTTACATCAGCAAAATAAGTTTCAGATCTTGAGAAAGTCTGAATGTGATTATCATTAATTTATTGATGGAACTAATATTGTACAAAGTTAGACTTAATTACCAATTGTATAATAATAGATTCTATGGGGAGCCAATAATCATAATGCAACTGAATTTACTATTAAGTTTGAAAGTAACTTTGAGGGAAAAAAAGCAAAACCATGAACAAATGAAATAAGAGCAGATGTAGGCTATTCTCTTCAAGCCTGCTCTGATATGGCTAATCTATTTGTTTTGACTTAGACATTCCTATCAACCTTAATAATCTTAGATTCTTAGGCATGAAAATAAGTCTGTCTCCTCTCCAGTGATTCTGCTTCCACCATTTTCTGAAGCAGAGGGTTCCAAGTAACGTAATTCTGAGGAGAAAGAAAATTACCTCTATCTATAAGACCGTAAGACATAGAAGCAGAATTTGGGCCACGCGGCCCATCGAGTCTGCTCTGCCATTCAATCATGGCTGATAAGTTCCTCAACCCCATTCTCCTGCTTTCTCCCCTTGATAATCAAGAACCTATCCATCTCAATGACCTCGCCTCCACAGCCTTCTGTGGCAGTGAATTCCATAGATTCACCACTCTCTGGCTGAAGAAGTTTCTCCTTATCTCCGTTCTAAAAGGTCTTCCCTTTACTCTAAGGCTGTGCCGTCGGGTCCTAGTCTCTCCTACCAATGGAAGCATCTTCCCAACATCCACTTTGTCCAGGCCATTCAGGACTCTGTAAGCTTCAATTAGATCCCCCCCTCATTCTCCAATAAGTATAGTCCCAGAGTCCTCAAACGTTCCTCATATGTTAAGCTTTCCATTCCTGGGACCATTCTCGTGAACGTCCTCTGAACCCACTCCAGGGCTAGTACGTCCTTCCTGAGATATGGGGCCCAAAACTGCACACAATACTCCAAATGTAGCCTGACCAGAGCCTTATAAAGCCTCAGCAGTACATTCCTGCTTTTATATTCAAGTCCTCTCAAAATAAATGCCAACATTGCATTTGCCTTCCTGACTGCTGACCCAACCTGCAAGTTTGCCTTGAGAGAATCCTGGACGACAACTCCCAAGTCTCTTTGCACTTCAGACTTCTGAATTTTTCTCTCCATTTAGAAAATAGTCCATGCTTTTATTCTTCTTACCAAAGTGCATGAGCTCACGCTTTCCCATGTTGTACTCCATCTGCCACTTCTTTGCCCACTCTCCTAACCTGTCCAAATCCTTCTGCAGCCTTGCCAGCTCCTCAATACTACTTGTCCGTCCACCTATCTTTGTATCGTCTGCAAACTTAGCCAGAATGCCCTCAGTTCTTTCATCTGGATCATTAATGTATGAAGTGAAAAGTTGTGGTCCCAATGCTGACCCTTGTGGCACACTACTTGTCACCAGCTGCCATTTGAGAAAGACCCTTTGATCCCCAGACAGCCAATCTTTTATCCATGCTAGCACCTTGCCTCTAACACCATGGGCCCTCATCTTACTCAGCAGCCTCCTGTGCTGCACCTTGTCAAAGGCCTTCTTGAAGTCCAAGTAGCTAACATCCATTGGCTCTCCTTGGTCTACCCTGCTCGTTACTTAGAACATAGGACCTGTACCGTGCTGTACTGTTCTTCGGCCCACGATATTGTGCCGAACTTTTACCCTAAACCTAAGGTCTATCTAACCTCCACCCCTACCTTGTACTTCAAAGAAGGTTCACTCAACTGATTCCTAGGATGTAGGGGCTATCTTATGATGAAGGGCCGAACATGTTGGACGTGTATTCATCCGAGTTCAGAGACATGTGAGGGAGGTGACCTTATTGAAACATACAAGGTCCTGAGGGGATTTAACAAGATGAATGCTGAAAAGACTTTTCTCCTTATAGGAGAACTAGGAAACAGTTTTAAAATAAGGGGTCTCTTATTTAATTTTTTAAATCAGAGGATCATGAATCTGTGGAATTCTCTGTTGCCAACAAACAGAGGAGACAGGGTCATACAGTAAATACAGCCCTGAAGCAGACCCTTCAGTCCAACTTGTCCGTGCCAACCAGGTATCCAAGCTTCAAAATCTCCCCTCCCCCTACCGCATCCCAAAACCAGCCCAGCTCGTCCCCACCTCCCTAACCTGTCCTTCCTCCCACCCCAAGCCCCATCCCCATCTCCTACCTACTAACTTCATCCCACCCCCTTGACCTGTCCATCCTCCCTGGACTGACCTACTCGTCCCTACCTCCCCACCTACACACCTCTACTGGCTCCATCCCTGCCTCTTTGACCTGTCTGTCTCCTCTCCACCTATCTTCTCCTCTATCCATCTTCTATCCGCCTCCGCCTCCCCCTCCCCCTCTCTTCCTATTTATTTCAGAACCCCCTTCCCCTCCCCCATTTCTGAAGAAGGGTCTAGGCCCGAAACGTCAGCCTTCCGGCTCCTCTGATGCTGCTTGGCCTGCTGTGTCATCCAGCTCTACACCTTGTTATCCCTGTCAATATGAAGTTCGGTTATCTGTTAGTTCCCACACTCATTCATAAGTCTAATAACTAGAAGCAGAAGTAGGCAATTCAGCCCCTTGAGCTTGTGCTGCCATTTAATACGATCATGGTTTATCTCTGCCTCAACTCCACTTCGCTGCCTGTTCCCCATAACCCTTGAACTCATGTTCAAATTTATCCAGTCTGGGGTAATGAATTCCACAGATTCACAGACTTTTAAGAGAATCTATTTTTCCCCCTCATCTCTCTCTCAAAAATAGCCTGAAACCTATTGTTCTAGATTGCCACACAAGAGGAAGCATCCACTTTTCATCTACTTTATCAATACCCTTCAGTATCTTGTAAACCTTGATTAGATCTCCTCTCATTCTCCTAAAATCCAGTAAGTATAGGTCTAAACTGCTCAATCTCATCGTCTGTATTGATGGTGAGATGTACACAAGAACTGCAAAAGCAAATGTAGTCTTCAGCAGACTTTAAACATCAGTCTGAGAATTAAGAGCAATAAGATTGCCTATTGAACTGAAACTCTAAAGGGCAATAGTCTAGCTAACTTTGTTCTACATATGAGACTTGGACTTTATAACAAACATAAAATTTCAGAAGTATTAAGTCACCATTGAGTCAAAACAGCAGAAAGTCGACAATCTAATCAGATGAGGTTGCATCTGTGGAGAGAAGAAAAGCATTTGTTTGGAATATTGGGAACAGTTGCCTTCTGTAATATCTAGATAGAGAGAAGATGCAGAGATGCAAGACGTTATAGGCAGGCAACAGAGCAAATGAAGGATGTCAAAAGAAAAAGATTGTCAAGAATTTAGGAAATGAAACTTTCAGTAATAAATATAAATCTGTTTTTCCATTATGAGAATTGAATGTAGGAACAGCATTGCATTTTTGGGCCAGTGTAAATATTTTTCACACCACTTTTTATTATAGCAGTAAAACTGTCTTCTCCCACACCTTTGTATTAAGACCAGAACAAGAATATTGAGAAAGGGAATGTCCATCAATGGTTCACATTGAAATTTGGTACCCTTTGTTTTATTTTTCTGTTTTGAAATTGCAAAGTTGTATTTGGTCAGATGTTTGCCAAATTTTGTTAAAGGCCGAAACTGATTTCTGTTCCTCAGAAGAAGCCAAAAACAACTGGCTGATGATACTCTTGCTGTGGATACAGTACCTGACCAGTATATAAAATATAAAATGAGCTACAAACATATTGGCATGTGTCTTCTCTTCAACAATAAGAATTTCCATCCAGTGACAGGTAATTTAATGCCTTTCTTTTACATATGCTTGTGTAGAAAATGAGCACTAACATTGGTTGGAACAGAAAATTTCTATAATATTTTACTTTCTGTGTAGAATAGAATTTAAATTGTGCTTGAATCAAAACCAGTGTACGTATTAGTTTATAATCAACTTGGGCTACCCTTGACTGTTGAGAGATAACACGCTGTTATAGGCTAATATATTAAGGTCTTGACTCTCCACAGTATAACTAAATAGTCATGCATTTGTGGTAATTTATCAAAGTTTGTAAATAACTTGTCATAATACCTTACAAAGTTTATGTCAAGTGACAGACGGAAGATGCTTAGTATGAAATTAACTGGTTGCAGCTGAGTTGAGGGCAAGATCATTATAACTTGCATTTGTGATTTAGCAAATCGAGGTAGGCTTCCTGTTACAGAACCTTGCTGTAGGTGTTGCACAACAGGAACATCTTGAGCTGTGTTGTTTCTTCATGATCTGTAGTAACCCTTAAGGTACCCAAATGACCATAATTTATGAGGCTGTGAATTGCTACTTTTAGAAGTGGGAGCCATTGTTGAATTAATGGCTGGAGGGAAAATTGAGAAAGGTAAAATTGATTTTTATTTCTCTTTATTAATAACCTTCCATTGTTTTGTAGGCATGAATAAACGTAATGGTACGGATGTAGATGCTGCTAAACTGAGCAAGACATTCAAAAACCTGGGCTATGATGTTATGGTTTATAATGATAAAACATGCAATGAAATGCTTGAAATATTGCAAAATGGTAAGTGTTTGTCAAAACTACAAGAAAGTATGTTGATTAAACTGCAAAAATCTATTACTTTATAAACAGTCTGCCAAAATTGACCTGGATGCAGTTTGATCAGTGTGCTTGATAATTTTCAATTCAAGCTCTAGTCAGAGGAAGCATTATTTTAATCATGATGAGATGCTGAGGCAATTGCAGCAGGACAACTAAGATATTTTGATGAAGTTTTCAAACTTACAAAGTATTTTGAGGGATGTAAGCAAGGTTGGGCAGTGAATTGAAAATGGTCATCAGTTTGAAATAGCCACAAATTAAGAAAAAGGAGAATAATAGGCTATTGCGCCATGTATTATTTTCCATTTAGATGTAAAATTGTTTTTAATTCTTTTTCCTTTAATTCTTCTTCTCAATGTAAAGACCAAAGAAGCCATCCATCGTTTTTAAAGAAGTAATTTTAAATTTGTTCATGGGTATGAGCATCATTGGGCAGTAGTTCCACCGTGAACATGATGTTGTTCTGTCGCTTTAAACCATTGCAGTGCATTTGGTACACCCAGAGTACTGTTAGAAGGGGCTAACAGATTTTTGACCTAGCAACAGTGATGGATTAGCAGTATTACTCCAAATCAAGATGATACTGCAACTTTAGATCGTGAAATAATTGGGTTGTTTTAAATAAAACTGTTTGTTTTTAGAATTAATGGACATTGACTTCACGTTTAAGCCTCGATTTGAAGCTGGTGTCATCATGCTATTTTGCATTTAAATTCTTTATTTTTTTTTGTTACTAGCTGCCAAAAGCGACCACAGCCAAATGGCTTCATTTGTTTGTATTTTCCTCAGCCATGGAGAGGAAGGATTATTGTATGGAATAGATGGTGCTGAAGAAATTAGAAAATTCACCAGTATCTTTCGAGGAGATCGATGCAGATCTTTGGTTGGCAAGCCAAAGCTGTTCTTTATACAGGTAGGACTTAAAATGTGTACTCATGATCGTCGTCATACGTGGATCTGCGGATCTGCTGTCTGTGAATCTGTGTACTCACAAGGTTAGTTTCAAACGTGTTCTTTTGTTTTCCCAATTGACAAGTCCCAACAGATCACATGGTATCGCTGGGTCCATCGGGGATAGATAGGGGATTCCCACTGTAGCACTATCTTCACTATCTTCTTTTATGTTATCTTCAGGAGATCTGTTCCCTGATCCTCAACAGATAGAGGATGAGATGTAACTTGTTTGTGCACTTAAACGCTAAAACTAGACTATAGTTGTCTATATGTATTTTCTATGATAGCTACTAGGAGATGCCCAAACTTGACCCGAGAGGGGGGTGTGCATCTAGTTTCCTTTGTTTGAGGAAGTGCTATATCAAGCTGCAGTTTAGTTGAGATTCCTAACTTATCAAGTTGTTCATTAAGGGCTCTTGTGCAGTTGCAGTGTCCCTACCTCTGAGCCAAAGTGTCCAGATTCAAGTTTTACCTGATATAGAGATCTGAACAGGTTGATTTCACATAACTAAAAGTTGTTGATAGCAAATTTGCTTGTACATCAATTTAGAGTGTCACTTAGACTGATGAATCTTTCAGTACCCTGCATCAAGCACTAGAGTAGTGCCAGGTATGGGTCACATTTGGCAAAACCTTGTATTTGTCTTCCATTGTACATGTTAATTCACTTGCTCGTTTTCCAAAAAAGTTGTTTATTCCTTTGCATTGCTATCTTGCTATTTCTATATTCTTCCAACACTGGGCCATCTTAAAGGATTCAAAAATGACATTAAGGCCACCTTTGGATTATGATCATTGTTGAGTTTAATCATAAATTCATGAACTGCCTGGCATCTTTGTCAAATTTTCCTGAGGCTGTATCTTCAGAATTGGCTTGCCTGTCCAAGAAAAGATGTACTATCAACACATGCATAAGGAAAATAATATATCATGTTTGGTCTGGCCGAAGGTACCACTGATTCCAAAGAAGAGTCGTAGAGGACTCTATGACTCAAAGCATTAACATTGTTTCTCCCTCCACAGATATTGCCAGACCTACCGAGTTTCTCTAGCAGTGTTCTTGTTATTGAAGGTACCACTGATTTGCCAAGATTACTGTTCATATTCACCACCCAACAATAGACCTAACTTATCTTTTATTAGATCCACTGGCCTGGGATTTACTTCGTAGCAAGCCTTCCTGGGAACAATTACCACATTAGTGGCATGGAGCCGGTTCCATTGTGCATTCAGTTGAATGTTCCAGATTTTCGTTCTCCATTTATAATTCGAAGGATCTTGATCCACTAGCTTGCTTTGTTGCATCTCTGGGAATAGTGAATGATTGATTGTTTTCCTTCAGAACTGAGAACCGCGTCATTCAATTTGCAGAAGCTGGCAGGAATGAATGCCATAAGCCATGTACCGAACTCCTGGTTGGCACCTGAATTTATTTTTCAGCTAACTTGGTTTGATTAGCAGTCATGTTAAGATCTGGGAGTGTGCCCTGTTTATTATTTGGTTTAAATGCCACAGTAAGTTATTTGGATTATTGCTGAGGATCTAAGATAGAGAGCCTGCGATTGCATGTAGCTATTGAACATTCATTGCTATTCTTCTTGGTGAAGGTGGTGACTGAATAATATGACTGGTGACCATTTCAAAAAATTGATTGTAGTGAATATCTGTGGATATTATTTGTGCAGACTTCTAAAGCACTTAATAAGGCATGTAGAGTCAAAGTTGAGGCTTATGGAATTGATGGTAAATTACTGACCAGCTGAGGAAAGTAAGGAAACAATAGGGTACATCGAGCAAACCTTTCTAACGTATCTTTGTTTTGGCCTTTCACATGTTATGAATGAATTAGATAAAGGGATAGAAAGCTCTATGTACAAATTTCTGATGCTGGATATCCTTGTGTCATATGACTAGTGTTGATGAAAGCATACAATTACAAATGAATTAAGTGAATGCTTAAATAGATATATATTGATTTTAGGCAAATGTGAGGTCATCCAACTTGGACCTTAAAAGCATGGTTCAGGAGTAGCGATCATACTGTCACTATGACAAGCCCTGGTTAGACCACATCTTAGGAAGAATATATTGGCCTAAGTGGAAGCACTGCATGTATTTGCAAAGATAATACATAGATTCTCAATGGTTACGTTACAAGACAAGATTGCATGAAAGTGACAAAAACAGAATTTGCTGGAAAAGCTCTGCAGGTCTGGCAGCATCTGTGAAGAAAAAAAAATCAGAGTTAACGTGTGGCATGAAAGTGAGGTTATATTAGCTGTAATTTGGAAGTTCGTAATTTCATCAAAGTTTTCAATATATTAAAGTGAATAAACAGAGTAAATAGAAATTATTTCTGCTGCTTTAAGTGCCCTGGCAGAGTTTAAAATTTTTAAATTTAGAGTTAGATCTTTCAGGAGTAAAATTAGGAATCACTTCAACACAGCAAAGGTGGTAGAAGTTTAGAATTCTCTTCTATGAATGACACTTGATACTAAATCAGTTTTAAATTCTAAATCTGAGAATGATGGACTTTTGCAGTCCAGAGGTGTTGAGTGATATGATGCAAAGTTGGACATTGAAATCTCTTATTGTTGTGCTGCTGATTTGATTTAACAAGTCTCAGTAGTATGGACATGTTTGTAGGAATTTCCGTGGAATCCATTTGATTGTTTCATTCCACTGAGATAGTTGGTAAATTTAATCTTTTGTTTAATCTAGTTGAGGTCCAGTCTTGGGTACAGATCTCTATTCTTATACAAATTGTATATTTCCATGGAGGTTCTTAATGCAACAATGCTATTTGAAGTTTTGGGTATTATGCATAACAAATTTACTAAATTAAATACATCTATTTTTTGTGGAAAATTATTTTTAATTGCTTTAGGATGGGAGAAGCAGCATGCGCCAATGTTGTGCTGTCATCCTCAGAATATTCTTGTGAAATTTACAGCCAGCTGTTTAAAATTTTGCAGCATTGTTCCGTTAGTGATCAAATTCAGTACCTTGTTTATGAACGACAAAATCCCATGATAGTGAATAAATTAAAGGCCATATGATTTAATTTGGTTGTGGTATTTTTGGATGAATGTTTGTCAAGATGCTGAAATTACTTGATGCTTTTTCTAAACAAGCAGGTGATGCATTGGTTTATCATGCAATTTTTCAAATGACTTACATCACTACACCCCTTCAGTTATGAGGCTGGAATCCAGTGTCTTCTGACTGAGTTGAGGGTGCTAGTACTGATACAAGTCAACCCTAATGAAAAAATGCACTAAAACATCCTGAAAATACTCCGATGATGTGATAAAGTAAATTTATTTTGTCAAGCATGTTTGGTTTGTGGCATTACTCCCTGAAGTTGTCAAATTAAATACTGCAGTTGCATTAAGATTGCCAAATTCTAGAATTGCAAGTCTGCCCTTCACTGAAAATAATACTGAAAAGTGGATGTTGAGTGAGAGCAGATGAAGCACAATTATTGTCTTAAATGTTAAATAATCTGCTTAGATATTCAAGCAAGGAATAATCAATTCACAACTGTAAACTTCTTGCAGCAGAATTCAACACCTTCAGCATAAAAAAAGTGGGACACAAGTTGACACTCAAATGAACTGTGGAAAATGTTATCAAAATGCAGCAAGCAAATTTTTGACCAACGTATGTTATTTGTTTTCTTGCTTTGCTGTTCTGTTTTCTAGGCTTGTCGAGGAAATGAATTTGATGGAGGTGTTGAGACTGACAGTGCTGTAGATGAAAAGAGTACTTCCCTGAAAAAAATACCCATAGAGGCTGACTTCCTGTATGCTTATTCTACAGCACCTGGTGAGTGAAAAGGTTCTGGTACTGAAACTGATTGTTTGGTGCTTCTGCTAGGTGATCAACTGGTTATAAAATGATTTGAGAACAATCCACTTTCACTGGAGACCATTCCTATCTAAGTTTTATGCTTGTTGGAGGAAGATTTGATAGTTTGCCAAAATGGTAAGGGTGAGACTTGCAGCTCTGGTCCAGTGTGCAAGCGACCTAGTGTTCTGATCAAAGGCATCGGATACTTGAGGCTATAGCTCAATTTTGTTTGCATTTCGTGCTGCTTTACCATGTTGATATGTCAGGGTGACCATAGATTCCATTAAAGTTACACACCATTGCCTGAAACGTCAACTATTACGTGAAGAAAACAAAGTAGAAGTCAAGATGCAGAACCTGATATTGCCTTTGTGGTCCTTTTCCTTTGAGCAAGAAATCAACAACCTGAATGGAGAAATACTCTGGTAGAATTGATTTGTTATGATATGCATGTTGACAAATCCAGCTGTTTATTTAGTTGAGACATTAGTATAAGACGACCTGAGCTATATCATTTTTTTGGTACAGTCTAGCAGAAAGGTGTTAAATTCTGTCGGTGTTGGATTAGAATTATTGTGCCGTTGGATCATCTGTTCAAAGTCAGCAGCAAATCCTAGAAACCTGAGCCAGTGTTTGTTTGAATGAGCAGTCATACATAGTCCTGTGCTCTTGATTTTCAACCTTAACCCTGTTAAAATTAAATCCCGATTATTGCCGCTTTGTAAAATTTCTTCCAAAGGTCCATGCATAAAATATGTGTTGCACTACTTTGATCAACCTCTATTATCTCCTCCTATAATTGAATCAAATTAATCAATGTGAAATTAGAACCAAAAATACTGGAAATACTCAGTGCATCTGGAACCATCTAAAAGTTTATCTTTAAGACCTGTGAACTTGCATCAGATATGATTTAATTCCAGGATGATATGTTGCTCCCTGGTCTCGGTTAAGAATATAATGGAGTGACTGCAGAACACACTTGAGGGGCAAGGGCATTCACGATCCATTTCAGTATATGACAAAGCGTTGAGACCTTGCTGACAAATTTCAAGAAGCTAAGAAAGAAACTAGCAAATGAGACCTCACAGATAATAGTCACTAACTGCTTCTGTTGCCATATGCCAGGAATATAGAAATAGAATAATGCAGCTAAATGAGTGGTTGGGAGATAGCGTAGGGGAGGGCTTTAGATTCTTTGGACAGTGGCAGACAGTTTTGGGGAGGGTGGGACCTGTGCAAGCTGGACAGGTTGCACTTGAACAGAATTGGGACCAGTTTCCTTGCAGGTGGGTAGCTAGTGCAAATGGAAAGGATTTAAACAATCATTGTTGGAGGTAAGAATCAGTAGGTACCATATATACGTGTGCAAAAGTTAACCATAATACTTTTGGCCTTAAATAAAGTAATTTTTCTCCTATAATAATTGTCCTTGATTTTTTCAGGGATCGAACTGTTATATGTTGCATCTCACTAGGGTAGAGTGCTAGAAATCAAACACTGCTATTTCTGGAGTTCTTAAAGTTACAGATTTTATTAAAGTATGCAAAATTCTACAATTTGCCAGAAAGCACAGACTAGATTTCTATGCTTAACAAGAATTTTTTTACAGTAAGTAGATTCTAGCAATAAGTAAATAATTATGAACAGTTGATATATACTTATAGTTAAATCTCTGACCCCCTTATAAAACTGTCCCATATACATATATACATACACACAGATATAAAAACATAGGTGTTATGGGTGGAGGGAGAACTGAAAAGATGGTTCAATGGTTGCTTTCCCCAGGATTCGTTGAGATAATCCTTTTGCTTGTCAGGTGTTGCTGTTTAAAAAATTAAGGGTGAGCTTGTGGAGTTCTTGGAAGTGCATGATAAAATAAGACCGAGTCAGCATGGCTTCAAGGGGAGGACCTACCTGATAATTCTGTTAGAATTCTTTGGTTATGAACAAGTTAGACGAAGGAAATCCAGTGCACATGATCAGTTTGGATTTCCCAAAGGCATTTGACAAAGTGCTGCACAGAAGCCTGCTAATTAAAGTAAGAGCCCATGGTGTTTGGGGCAAGATACTGGCATGGATAGAGGATTGGCTAACTGGCAGAAGACAGAGCGGGGATAAAGGGGTCTTTTTCAAGGTAAGAACTGGTGACTGGTGGAATTCTGCAGGAGGCAGTGTTGGGACTATTTGGGAACTGAGGGCATTGTTACTAGGTTTGCCGATGATGTGAAAATAGGTGGAGGGACAGGTAGTGTTAAGGAAGTGTGGAGGCTGCAGAAGGACTTGGACAGGCTAGGAGAGTAAACAAAGAAGTGGCAGATGGAATACAATGTGGGAGAGTGTACAGTTATGGACTTTGGTAGGAAGCATAGATGGGTAGACTCATTTTCTAAATGGGGAAAGGCTTCAGAAATCGAAGCACAGAGGGACTTGGGAGTCTTAGATCAAGGTTCTCTTAAAGTTAATGTGCAGGTTCATTGTAATTCGGTTCACTGCTTCAGACATCAGATCAGTCTTCCTGGGAGTCGACCCAAGGAAAGCACTGGACCTGGACGGTGTCCCCGGCCGAGCACTCAGATCCTGTGCCGACCAACTGGCAGAGATATTCATCAACATCTTCAACTTCTCCCTCCTACAAACTGAAGTCCCCACCTGCTTCAAGGAGATCACTATCATCCCCGTACCTAAGAAAGCACATGCAATGTGCCTTAACGACTTCTACCCAGTGGCTCTCACCTCAATCATGAAGTGCTTCGAGAGGATGGTCATGGCCCATATCGACTCCAGTCTCCCAGTCTGCCTTGATCCCCTACAGTTAGCATACTGACGTAACAGGTGTACAGAGGATGCCATATCCCTAGCCCTGCACTCATCCCTGGAACATCTGGACCTCAAAGACACCTACGGCAGACTCATGCTTATTGACTACAGCTTGGTCTTCAACACTCTTATGCCCTCCAGACTGATCTTGGCCTCCATGACCTTGGTCTTGGCTCCTCTGCAACTAAATCTTTGGTTTTCTGACCCATAGACCACAATTGGTGAAGATAGGTAACTGCACCTCCGTCACAATAACACTCAACACTGGAGCCCCACCAAGGATGTGTCGACAACCCCCTACTGTACTTCCTTTACACCTACAACTGTGTCACCAAATTCCAAACAAATGCCATCCACAAAGTTCGCTGATGACCGCACAGTAATGGGATGGATGTCTAACAACGACAAGTTAAACTACAGAAGGGAGATAGAGGCTTGTTGACGTGGTGCAATGAAAACAAGTCTGTCTCTCAACATCGGCAAAACTGAAGAACTATTCATTGACTTCAGAAAGAAAGGAGGAGAACACCCATCTGCATCAACGGAACTTGAGGTTATGAGGGTGAAGAGCATAAAGTTCCTTAGAGTAACTATAACTGTCGACCTGCCCTGGATTTCCCACATAAATGCGACCGTCAAGAAGGCACAACAATGCCTCCTCTTCCTCAGGCAGTTGAGGAAATTTAGCATCACCAACTTCTACAGATGCACCATTGAAGGCATACTGTCTGTGTGCATAACGGCCTGGTATGGCAACTGTTCTGCCCAGGACCGTAAGAAACTACAGAAGGTGGTGTGCACAGCCCAGACCATCATGGAAGCCAACCTTCCTTGCATGGACTCCATTTACACGGCTCGCTAACATCATCAAAGACCCATCGCACCCTAGTGATGATCTCCTGCCACTTCCCTCGGGCAGAAGATACAGGATCCTGAACATGCACGATCAGGTTCAGGAACTGCTTCTTCCTGGCTGTTATCAGATTGATGAATGGCCTGTCTTGCCTTTAAATAATGCTGATCTTGCCTAGCGCATGCCCTGCGCAATGTAATCTGTGTGCCTCTGTCTAAGCCTTTTTGATCTGTACATCCTTTGCTTACTATGATCCACCTGTACTGCTCGTAAACAAAGCTTTTCACTGTATTTCAGTACATGTGACAATCAATCAAATGCAATGTTAACATTCATTTGAAAACGGCTAGAATACAAGAGCAGAGATATATTGCTGATGCTGTATAAGGCTCTGGTCAGACTGCATTTGGAATATTGAGTAGTTTTGAGCCCTGCATCTAAGAAAGGATATGTTGGTGTTGGAGGGTGTCCAGAAGAGGTTTACAGAAATGATCCCTGAGATGAAGGGCTTGTCATGTGAGGAGCTGTTGAGGACTCTGGGTCTGTACTTGATGGAGTTTAGAATGATGAGATGGAGGGTGGGGGGGCTCTGATTGAAACTTACAGAATACAAAGATGTCTTGATCAAGTGGACATGGAGAAGATGTTTCCACTGATAGGACCTGACGCCACAGCCTCTTTGAAGAGGCGACCCTTTAGAACTAAGATGAGGAGGAATTTCTTCAGCCAGAGGACGGTGACTCTGTGGAACTCATTGCCACAGAAGGCTGTGGAGGCCAAGTCATTGAGTGTATTTAAGACAGGTTCTTGATAAGTAAGGGGATCAAGGATTGCAGGAAGAGAGCAGGAGAATGGGGTTGACAAATATTTCAGCCATGATTGAATAGCAGAGCAGACCCTTAGACCTTTCTAGACATTTTTTTAGAGATAACACGGCGTGGAGCTGAAGGAGCACAGCAGGCCAGGCAGTATCAGAGGAGCAGGAAAGCTGACGTTTCGGGTTGGGACCCTTCTTCAGAAATGGGGAGAGGGAAGGGAGCTCAGAAATAAATAGAGGAGGTGGGACTGAGGAAGGTAGGTGGGATGGTATTAGGTGAGTGCAGGTAGGGAGTGGTGGGGATTGGTCAGTGAGGTGAGAGGGACAGATAGGTGGGAGAGATGGACAGATAGTATCAGGTCAAGGAGGTGGGGATGAGAGGGAGGGTTGCTCATGGATTTTTAGGGCTCCTTTCACCTGCCCTGGCTGTTCTTAGACTGCTAAAGTGTATGCTACTGATATAGGCTTTGTGTTCTGAATGATACCTGTGTGCGCGTACACTGAAAGGAATCTTCACACTTACTAAACTTCTGGATGATTCTTTCTAAAGGGAAGCCTTTTGTGTGTCCCTGTGTCATACAAAACCATGATACTAGACCACAACCAATTTTTTTCTCCCCATTACTCTTCTACTGTTCTCAAAAGTACTGAACCATTCGTCTCGAGGTTTCTTAAAACCTCATTTCAACACATATATACAAATTTCGGGCAATCTTTCACCATTTTTCAACTCAGTAAATTAGTAAATAACATGTCATTCTTATCATGCACAATATAGAAATACAAATCAAATTTGAAGCTATACATGGGTTTGTTCATTTTAGGAGCCACACTTTCAGACAACATGCCATGAGCCTCCATCACAACAACTACGTAAGAACGAGGAGCAGGAATTGGGCAGTTCAGCCTCTTGAGTCTGCTATATCATTTGATACGATCATTACTGATTCCATCTCTGCCTGAACTTCGATTTCCTTAATCCTTTAACCTGTTACTGATTTTAAAATCTTGTCTCTCTCCTCAAATTTATTCAGTGTCCCAGCATCCACTGCAGTCTAGAGTAATAAGTTCCACACATTCATAGTCCTTTTGAGAGAAGTAATTTCTCATCTTGTCCTGAAACTGTGACCCCTCATTCTAGATTTTCCCGCAAAAGGAAACCTCTTCTGTACCTCCTACTTTTTCAATTCTCTTTAGCATCTTGTATATGTCAATTAGATCTCCTCTCATTGTTCTTAACTCCAGAAAGTATAGGGTTAAACTGCTAAATCTCTCTTCAAAAGTCAGAACCTTCACCTCTAGAATCAATCCAGTGAACTTCCTTTGAACTGCATTCAATACAGTGACATCCCTCCTCAGGTCAGGGGACCAAAACTGTAAGCAATATGTCAAATACCTAGTACAGTTGCGGCAATACCTCCTGACCTTTATACTGTATCCTCTTAGCAATAAATGCCAAGATTCCATGTGCATTACTTATTACCTGCTGTAATTCATTACTATTTTTCTGCAATTCATGCATAAGGACACCCAAATCACTCTGAAGTTTCTTTCCGTTTAGATAATAAAGTGCCTTTCTATTCTTCTGAAGAAAATGATAATCTCTCACTTATCTATGTTAAACTCCATCTGCCAAATTTTGGCCCATTCACCTAATCTGTCCATATCCATTTATTGCAACTTACTTTCTACCTATATTTGTGTCATCTGCAAGTTTGACCTTCTATCCCTGCCTCTGAGCCATTAATAAAGATTGTACATAGTTAGGGTCTGAGGACCAAACCCGGTGGTACCCCACTAGCTATATCTTGCCAACCAGAAAAAGACTCATTTAACTCTACACTCTTCTTTCTGTTGGTTAGCCAATCTCTATCCAAGCTAATTAATTATGAATAATCTTGTGTGATGTTGTAAATGAATATTTTTGTGCAGCCCTTATCAGATGCCTTCCAGAAGTCCAGATATACTATATCTACAAGATCCTCATTATCCACTTTGCTTGTTACATCTTCAAAGAACTGTAGCAAATTAGTCATTTGCAATTTGCTCTTCTTAAAATCATGCTCACTCAGTTTTCATTTTGACTTTCCAAATGTCATGTTATTACTTCCTTAGTAATGGATCCTAGCAGGGCAGTGTTTGCTAATACTCAGAACTACGGGGCACATTTGGGATTTCATGGTTCCAAGCACTATTGACTGTACACTCCTCCTGTATACTTTACATGTGACATTATGTGCAGTGCATCACTCCACATGCATAGGGAGGTGCATGTGATTTTAAAGTGGGTTTTAATGGTGGGGAGAGGGGTTGGTGGGGAATATCCAGAGTGAGAAGGGAAGTCAAGGAGAGGCCAAGAATCAGTAAGCCCTCTCCTCTATCTTTCCCTTCCACACTCCTCCCGCCTCCTGGGCTTGCTTCTTTCTTTTTATCTGTCCAAAGTAAAGTTTATCTTTCTCTTCCCTTGTTCTTTCTCTGCTGCTCTGCTTGACATCAGCTGGCGTCTCTGTAATTGACTCTGCGTATCAGTTACAGGCGTCCGTTGCTGCTCCTCCTGCAACTGCCATGTCCGAGCTGGAGCCATACATCTGGAGCTCTAATCGATGCTCACCCAGATAATGCTGCCAGACATCGGTTGCAGTGGTCCTCCGCTGACACTTGTTCAGGAGCCTAGGCCTAGCTGCAGACCTGGAGCCTCAGCTCAGCCTGTGAGCCTGAACCGGGTCACAAATTTATCCCGGGACCTGCTCTGTACTCACCTGGAGTCCCCGGACTGGCTTGGAGCTGCGTTCGCCTCATCCTGGCATTGCTGCTGCCGGATGCCGCCTCCTTTATCTTTCACTTGGCTTCGATCACCGCCATCTTAGTCTGCCATCTATTTGACAGTTTGTGTGAGACCATGGTATTTTAAAGGAAAGAGCTAAGATGTTTTGAATACTAAGCATTTCAGGTGGTGGAATAATGATGTGACAAACTCCAAATGTACATTGTTAACATGGACACTAAATTTTGATTTGAAAAGCTTTCTAATGAAAGCCTCAGATATCCAGTTACATGACATTTTATTTTGTCTTTTCCAGGCTATTACTCTTGGAGGAATACAGGCAATGGTTCATGGTTTATTCAGTCATTATGCCATGTACTTGATAGGCATGGCAAGGAACTGGAGATCATGCAAATACTCACTAGAGTCAACCATAAAGTGGCATTGGAATTTGAATCCAGCACGCATACGGAGGCTTGCAATGAGAAAAAGCAAATCCCTTGCATTATTTCTATGCTAACTAAAGAACTTTACTTTAGTTGTTAAGACACTTTTGGAAATGTGAAATTGTATAATTTCTTCAATCTATTCCAGAATTAACAGCAACTTCCAATACTTTATCTGCCTGAAGAGCAATAAATGCTTTAATCAACATAACCAATCATAGAATTTTTGGTGGTGGTTATTTTGATGGCATGAATACATTTCTAAAACCGGTTTAGTTAAATTGTTGATGCAATATCTTTACAATGTCAAATTTTGAAAATCGATAGTTAATTTTTGAATTTCATTGTTAAAAGCAATTTAGCAGGTATTTTTTGACTGAATTTTATTAATGTAAAGAGAGCTTTTGATAAATAAAACAACAACAAAGAATTGGGGATGCTGGAGAAACTCAGCAGCAACTTGGTGCGGTTTCTTCCCACAGATCCCACCAGACCTACTGAGTTTCTCCACCAATTTCTGTTTGTTTCTTTTGATTAAAATCGTGTTTGAAGATCTTGCATTGTTTTGTGTGTATCAATAGCCACGTGTTCAAAAATAATTAAAAATTTACACAATTATAAAAGTAACCCAGTGAGAGCAATTAAATGTAGATGTTATTGTCTTTCAAATATGTTAACATTTCTCACCAGCATTTTAAAAAACCAATGTCCAATAGTGTATGTTAATTCAATTTTGTGTGAGCAGTAGCTTGGCTCTAGAAACTTGAGTACATAAAACTGAATGATGTTTTGGTGTACTACTGAAAGGCTGCTGCATTATCGGGTTCAGGTGAAACTTTAAAGAGGCTGGTTCTAAGGAAGGGTCACCAGACCCAAAACGTTAACTCTGTTTTCTCCTCCACAGATGCTGCCAGACCTGCTGAGCTTTTCCAGCAACTTTGTTTTTGTTCCTTGTTTAAAGAGGCTGGACCTTGTTCCCTGTCATTATTCATTTGATAAACCTGAAAGATCCCATAGCACTTATCAAAGTTTGCCTGTCTTAAAATGAATTAACTGGTCATTTTTTCATTATTTGTGGGACTTTGCTTTGCAAGTTGGCTACTATGTTCATCTATATTACAGCATAGAATTTTTAAAATACTTTGGTTCTGAAACATCAAGATATCCTCAGGAAGTCAAATTCACTGTGTAACTAGAAGCTTGAATATTTGAGTGGAAGTAGTTTAGAAATGATACGGCACAGAAAGGGGCCATTTGGCCCATCTTGTCCATGCTGATCCAAAGACACCCAGGTGTCCTTTCTCATCCCGTCTTCCTGCATGTGGCCCATAGCCCTGCAGTTTTCAGCACTTAAGGTGCAGAACCAGGTATGCTTTGAAAGCGTTTAGTGTCTGTGTCTCCACCACCAACCTCCGGCAGCAAATTCCAGATACCTGCCACCGTCTGTGTTTTTTCAAAAAAAGTTTTTTTTCTCAGTTTCCCTGTAATCTTTCTGCCACTTAGCTTGAATCAATGACCCCTGAAACATTCCAACTATTACATTTTCAGAACTACTTCTTACCAGTTTATTTCCTTGTATTCAGTTTTAGCAAAGTCACAGTAAAGATAAATTTATTTAGCATGTAGTATTTTAAAGCCGATAAGATAACGTTAGGATGAATCTCTTAGGCTGAATCAGTGAACTGGTCATGTAGGAATTTTTGAACTTGAAGTTCTATCAAATGACTCTGCTCCTTTGCAGAATGTAATTAGATGTTCCTCATAATGGGTAAGACTGAAATCTTAATTAGAAAACTGATTTTTTTTTGGGGTTATATTTTAAATATTTTCTCTGTCTCTATCTTAAATTCTCCCCATATTATTCCTTACTAAGGAGCAGGCATAACTTAACACCCTGACTGTACAGAGGATTCTTGGTTTCTTTTGGGGTTTTTTATGGTTTTAAGATCTGTGCTTTTTTTTTTCTTCTATCATCTGTGGAGAGGGTGTATTAGTTTGACAGCTGGTTCTATTCAGTGTCTTCTCATCAATAATTGTTATGAACTTGCATCTTGAATACAGTCTTCCCTTAGCTGGAATGGCAAATTTGCGCAGGGTTATATTGTTCTGCATAATAAATAAAATGCATGCTTTGAATTTTGCTATGTTTGAAATATCTAGAGCCTTATCCTATATACTTTTCAGGTAATGATAATGGAAACTTTAATTTTTACTGTTAAAACCTCAATACTGGGATTCAGTATTTGATATTTACACCTTTCTGAAAATTTGTATGGATGCTGAATATTGCAAAGAATAGTGTCCATTTCTTGTTCAGGTGCATTACATGACTGAAATAAACAAACTGATACTATACTGTTGTGCTCAGAAGAAAATGCAATAACAGCTGAAGTTTTTGTTTGTGTTAGACAGTTTACTGTATTATGAATCTTGTCATTTATATTATAATCCACTTAACTACTGTGTTTTTCCACACAATGCTTAGTAGGTTCAGGGTGCCATCTAATGTGCAATAACCTGTATTTGTATATCTTTAATGCAGAAAGTGTCCCAGTTTAGTTTTACATAAATAGTTAATTTTAATCAGATAATGTGCATTTTGATAGCATTTCTTTTTATTTGTTGGTGAGTGGAATTTTCCAGATTTTGTCTTCATTGGGAAAAATATTGTGTCCTTTAAGTGGTTGGCCAGCTAACTTAGATATGAAGTGTGTTCTGGGCTATAATTTGTTAGGTATTATATAAGGCAGTTCTTCAGAAGCAGTTAAAGGTTTCATAAGACCCACTGTTACCTGTTGGTGATTGCAGGAAGAAATGCTGTGGTGGTGGTAAAGAGGTGAAATTCAAAACACACAGATCAGCCATGATCTTCTTAATGGTGGAGCCAGCTTTAGAGGTCAAATGGCTTTTGTATTATATGCATTTCAAACTGCTTTTAAACTGGAGAATTTAAGATAATGTACTACACAACTGTGCTGTAGGTAGACCCACAATGCTGTGAGGGAGAAAGTTAATGACCAGTTTTGACCCAGCAACACCAAAAGAATAGCAATATATTTCTAGGTCAGCTGTAGTACAATATTGATGCAGCGTAACACGTCTACTAAATGAAATTTTTCTAATGTGGGTTAAAGAAAAATAATCCTGTCCAAATTCTCGTTACTAGTATTGAGTGGGGCACTATTGAAGTCAGCAGCAAATCAGTTGTTCTCTCCTTTTGATCTTTATCAAAGGGATAGATTTTTAAAATGATAGTCAAAAGATGTTGATTTGGTGGATCCCTTTAAATTTTTTTTTCCATTTTTTTGAGGTATGTGAGCATTGCCAGAAAGGTCACCATTTAGTGCCTATCCCTAATTGCCCTTGAGCATGATTGGTGAACTGCCTTCATCAACTCTTGCACACTGTGGTGCAAGTCCTCCAATTGTGCTGCTGGGGACAGTGTTCCAGGACTTTGACTCAGCATTGGCGAAAGAGCAGCAATAAATTTCCAAATCGGGATCTAAGCATAGAAAAGATGAAGACTAGAAAATGAATGTCTTGATCAAGGGCTTGAGAAAACTACAAAGGATTACAATAAACAGAAAATGTTAAACCAAATCAGTCAGTGTTGACAGTTATCTTCCATGTACACAGCAATCCTAACCATGTAAACTAGTGATAATCACCTGCAATAGATTGTAAAAGAGGTGTTGGAAATGAATTGCTTACAATGGGTATACAAGCTGTAATGGGGTATGGTACTGGGAGTTGTTGGGTGACGGGGTGGTGCGGATGTGCATTAGATTTTTTAAAAATTCACTTATGGGAGGTGGGCATTGGCTGGCCAGCATTTACTGCCCATCCATAGTTGCCCTCGAAGGGGGTGAGGTGCCATCTTGAAACTCCATTCCACGTGTTGTAAGTTGATAAAAGCTAGAGGTGAAGGAAACGTCGAGGATGCAAAGATAAAATGGTCAAATGACTGATCCAAAGTTTGTTTATAAACCACTTAAATAGAGAAATGAATCATCGATAATAAAGGCAAATAATGGTTACCTGGTAATAAAGCATGCATCATTATCAATCGCCAACATAAACATTAAATAGGCATTTCAAACCATTGTGCTAAAATTTGACTTTTCATTCCACAATTTAATTTTAGTTTTAAACAATCAGACTCTTCAAAAGAATACATTTTACTTTAAGTAATTCTTTTAAGATATAGAATGCTTTGTTTAGTCTGTGAACAGTAAATATAATTAGTTTATTTGGCTCAGGATTTGTTATTTTTATTTCATCCTTGAATTAAGAACTGTGCACGGGCACGTGGATGGATGATGCACTGGATCTGATTCATCTGATTTTGCTTTGAAATCCCTGCAGGTATCACTTAAGGATGTTGTCCAATTTCTCATTGGTAAACGATCAGGGACCTCTATAAAGGTTTTAGTTAGTTTGAGGGGAAAAAAGTATATCTATTCAAACAAGAGCAAATTGAATATTTGCCCTTTTAGTGGTTACTACACTTGTAAAGCTACCAATCACCTGCAAGTCATTTAAAATAGGATCCACTTTGAATTCACATGGCAGTCTTTTGATGTTTATATTCTTGTGAAATAAAATATATGTACAAGTCCCAGACAGGTGAATGATCGTATGTAAATATAATTCACCTTCAACTATTTTGTACAATGTTTTTGTTCTTATTTTTGTTGGTTTGTGAGCATCTACTTTGTGTGTTTAGTGGGCATGTGTACAGAGTTCCTCAAGCTCAGCAAGTTCCCATCTTCCACAGAGAGATACATTAGAATATATCCTACTCATACTCACTCCTTTTGAATAATATTGCTAAAATGTGCTAAAGCAAAAATCCAGTTTATTTTAGCCTCCTGGACCATTCAGTCATGGACTTTAGCTTCCACAGATAATATTCCTCCTCTTACCTAGATATCAGTCTGTACTTGCAGACTACGGGATGAATTTAATAGAACCCCCCAAGTCATTGAGGCAATTGCGTCCGCTGAAGAGGCCTCAGGGTCAGTATCCTGGCAGAAGAAAAGTTACCACTGACGAAGCATGGGCAGATTGTTATGAAGATGGGAGTGAGACCAATCATAGTTTCTGATGGTCTTGTGGGTAAAATTTGCTTTCCAGAGTGGAACATGAACTCTACAAAGCTGTGGGCTGTAGATTTGGGTAAGTGCTGAATTAACTGATACAAGATAAAGTAATGATTTAAAATGTTATCAACTATCCTGGGGATGGAACTGTTCAGGGATTCCAAGACTGGCTGCTGATTGCTATCAAATAGCTTGTTGGAAAGTTCATGAGTTTGTGGGTGTTGAGTTAGTCCAGTTTGACCTTGGCTATGGTGCTGAACAATTTGCCAGTAATTAATTATGTTGGTTCATAGGTGATCAGCTACTTTACTAATGTACTGATGGACAAACTAGGCTCTAGGCAACAGTTTCTGTCTGCAGGGTAGAAGGAATGAAAATTATTGAAAAAAAGAAGCATTACAAAACAAATCTCGGCAGCAGTTATAACCAAGTTCTTTAGCCAGTGTAAATTTGCATAATATTACCCAATGATTTGGATTTCCTTGAATGAACAGTGTAAGTTATAAACATTTTTAGCTGTTAGAA